TCGACTGGACTCGGCGAGTACCCTGGCGACTCGGCGAGTCTAGTCATCCTCACAAATTCCTGAATGTTCCCTTTCTACTCGTCGAGTATCCCTCTTGACTCGACGAGGTCCTCGTGGAAGAATCGCGGGGCCACCCCGACTCTACTCGCCGAGTCTGAAGAACAAACTCGGCGAGTCCCAGTGAATCTTCAAGCTACTCGCCGAGTCTGCTCATCCGACTCGGCGAGTCCACGCCATGCAGTCGATCGAACTGCTTCCTGAGATACATATATTCCCGAATATACACACATGGGACCTTCTGGACCTCTAAGAGTCCTAATACAAGGTTATAAACATTGGATAACGACACAACAGTCCATCTAATCTCCAAATGGGTTTCACAAACCCTAAATCCGTGCACATATTCACATAACAGAAAATAATCCGAAAGGTTACCTGAATCATGCACTCTCAGTGTCCCCAAGCCTCAAAACGTGATTCCCTTGCTGTCCCATTAGCCAAAACCTTCTCCTTCTTGGACAATAACTTCCTCAAATCACCAATGATCTTCAATCCTCGTTCTGGATGCCCACAACCGATTTAGGATCCTTCTCAGTCGGCCAAAAGACGTGAAATGACGACATAACAACCCTTATATACGACCCAATACGAAACGGCTAGGGTTTCCGCTAAACAGCGTCGACTCGCCGAGTCCATACCTGGACTCGTCGAGTCCAGTCGCGAACCCGCAACCAAATCTGCGACCCTACTCGGCGAGTCTGGCTCCAACTCGCCGAGTCTCCCCTTTAAAACACCCCAAAATGCAATTTAACAATACTTGAGATTTTGGGTTGTTACATTACGGCCGTAAACTCTTGTATACATGCTCAAAATGTTTCTTGGTGGTCCTCCATTAATCACATGTGATTTTAAGCTATTACACAAGCCTTGTATGGATTTAAAGGTGTCATTTGGCCATGAATTGGGAGTTTACAGCCCAGGAAACCCTTTTGGGAGGGTTCACGGCCGTGAACTCCTTAGGGAGTTGTTTTCCTCATGTTTTAGGCTCCTAATTCGTTTGTGGTTGCTTCTAGATTTTTGTTCAAGGCTTAGGAGGTGTGTAAGTGGCAATTTAACACCTTAGAATGAGTTTACTCTCCATGATATGGGGTTTACGGCCCAAGCATGCTCTTGGGCAGTAAACTCATGTTTACTCTCCAAAAATTAAGTTCAATGTGTTCTAAGTCCATTTTGGTAAGCCTCTAAGTCATATCTAAGCTCCAAAGGTCGATTGGAAGGGTTTTTGGGCTCCAAAACCCAATTTATATGAGTTCACGGCCTAGAACTATTCTAGGGCTGTAAACTCATGAATATGGTCCTATTCCATAGTTTGATCACGAATTTGAAGGTGTAAGATGTTATACTAGGAGTTAGGGCAGTTGCCTTGGTGATTTGGAGCTTAAATTTGATGATTTTAGACCTAATTCTTGAGTTTAAGGAGAGAGGTTAGAGAGAGTAGTGAGAGAGAGGAAAGGCTTTAAATAGGTCCTAAGTTTGGGACACGGTGGAATTCTACCCGATACCGACGTTAAACGGGGCTTTTGGTCACACCCGATTAAGTCGTCTAATTATCAAATTGGGGTGTTTTCTTGAGTTTCTAATGGGTTTGGATACTAATTAAGTCATAATAGAAGTCTCGGAATAAATGACTTAATTTTAAAAACGTAAACGGAAATGTTTCGATAAGGACGAATTTTATAGACGGAAACGGGTTTCGGCGATGGAACGAACTTCGGGTTGTCACATTATCCCCCTGTTAGAGGAAATTTCGTCCTGAAATTCAAACTTTTAGATACGATGTAAGGATTCGGAAAGAAATACGGATACTTAACACAATTAGGATATTCGAAATACTTAGATAATATAACAAGTATGAAAGATAATCAAACATTACATTGGGATTCAATAACTAAACTTACTTTTAGGAAAATATAGGATTTTCCTGGGATAACAGTTGTACATAACCAGAATCGTGTAATAAATCAGTTAATCAAACTTTACATAAAGAAAATATGGGATTTTCTTGGATAACAAACTTTTTCGGAAAACCAAAGGACACTTGGACATTTTCAAAAACAAACATCTTATGAACTCACCAGCTTTATGCTGATTTTCAAACTGCTTGTATTCTCAGGTCAGCATTAGACAGGTACACCGCCACCTTTTGGAGAAGACGGAGTGTTAGAAGACTCGTCTTTGTTTTTGTTCATATGATATATGTATATAACACTTGTATAACTTTTCTTTCAAACAAATGTAAACAATTCTATGTAATGTAATGTTTTGTGTTTTTTCTAGTGTTACTATGTGCATTGGATTTGATACTCAACGTGGAGTCCGCCCCGGAAATGTTTCCGCCTTCGGTTTTTGGGGTGTGACAGATGTGCCTTCGTATTCGTATTTCTATTCTTAACCATATTCATATTCATATTTTATATTTGTATTCGTATTTATATTTGTATTCCTATTCGTATTCGGATTCGTATCCGTATTCGTATTCCTAGTCCTATTCCCAATCCTATTCATATTCGCATTCGTATTCGCATTCGTATTCGTATTTGTATTCGTATTCCTAATCCTATTCGTATTCGCATTCGTATCCGTATTCGCATTCGTATTCGTATTCATATTCCTATTCCTATTCCTAATCCTATTCGTATTCGTATTCGTATTCGTATTCGTATTCGTATTTGTATTCGTATTCCTAGTCCTATTCCTAATCCTAATCATATTCGTATTCGTATTCGTATTCGCATTCATATTCGCATTCGTATCCGTATTCCTATTCGTTCTATTCCTAGTTATACTTTCGTATTCGTTTTGTTCCTATTTGTACTTTCATATTCGTTCTATTCCTAGTTGTACTATCATATTCGTATTCGTATTAGTTCTAATTGATGATTAGTATGAATTATTCGTAGATTATGAAATACAATTTAGATTGTAGCACTTTATCAAGAAATCTATGATTAGTCTGAAAGCTAACTTCATAATTCGAACTATTTGATTAACACAGTTTTCAATATTAGAAACATACAGAATAAAAACATTTGAACTGAAAATAATAAGTTTGAGTACAAGATTTCCTTGTACTTTTGCTTGTATTCCCCCCTGAAAATATTTGAAAAACATTTGAAAAACGGTAGGGGTATGAACTCACCGTTTGAGGAACGCGTCGGTTTGGATCCAAAACGTCAGTTCTGGGTTTGCAAACGCACAAGATTCCTATGTTTTATGAAAAGATACACATTTGTATCTAATTAGGATTTGAATAATTTATTTGTTAAGGACAAACACTTCTAATCGCGAAAACACTCCATTACAAGCGTTTGGAGGGACCCGTGTGGCATTTTAGGACACGTATGGCTTGGATAATGTGTTTACTCTTCGAGAGTAAACTCATACTATAGTTTTCGGCCCTAATGTCCCATTCCCCATGAGTTTACGGCCATAAACTTATGGTGGGGTGTTCTATGGTGCAAAATGGCTTCATAACACTTGAGGGAAAATTCTAGGGTTAGATTCAATGCATGGGAAAGTGGTTTAAGCAATTTTAGGGACCATTTGAGGAGTTTACGGCAGTAAACTATATGCTTACGGCCATAAACTCTTGTACACATGCTCAAAATGTTTCTTGGTGGTCCTCCATTAATCACATGTGATTTTAAGCTATTACACAAGCCTTGTATGGATTTAAAGGTGTCATTTGGCCATGAATTGGGAGTTTACAGCCCAGGAAACCCTTTTGGGAGGGTTCACGGCCGTGAACTCCTTAGGGAGTTGTTTTCCTCATGTTTTAGGCTCCTAATTCGTTTGTGGTTGCTTCTAGATTTTTGTTCAAGGCTTAGGAGGTGTGTAAGTGGCAATTTAACACCTTAGAATGAGTTTACTCTCCATGATATGGGGTTTACGGCCCAAGCATGCTCTTGGGCAATAAAGTCATGTTTACTCTCCAAAAATTAAGTTCAAGGTGTTCTAAATCTATTTTGGTAAGCCTCTAAGTCATATCTAAGCTCCAAAGGTCGATTGGAAGGGTTTTTGGGCTCCAAAACCCAATTTATATGAGTTCACGGCCTAGAACTATTCTAGGGCTGTAAACTCATGAATATGGTCCTATTCCATAGTTTTACTACAAATTTGAAGGTCTAAGATGTTATACTAGGAGTTAGGGTAGTTACCTTGGTGATTTGGAGCTTAAATTTGATGATTTTGGACCTAATTCATGAGTTTATGGAGATAGGTTAGAGAGAGAGTATTGAGAGAGAGGAAAGGCTTCAAATGAAGTCTTTTGAGCTTTAAATAGGTCCTAAGTTCGGGACACGGTGGAATTCTACCCGATACCGACGTTAAACGGGGCTTTTGGTCACACCCGATTAAGTCGTCGTAACTCGGCGAGACCAATTTTAAAATTTATCTAATAATCAAATTGGGGTGTTTTCTTGAGTTTCTAATGGGTTTAGATACTAATTAAGTCATAATAGAAGTCTCGGAATAAATGACTTAATTTTAAAAACGTAAACGGAAATGTTTCGATAAGGACGAATTTTATAGACGGAAACGGGTTTCGGCGATGGAACGAACTTTGGGTTGTCACATCAGCTCTGAGATGTTATTTGGCATATTGTAGGTAAAGATTATGACTCTTTTAAGACCTATTGTTGCATTCCTACATAGATTTTGCTCTAGTAGCATAGGTGATCAGTCGTTGTTGCTACATGGAAAATATGCACAGTCTCTATATTTTGTATTTTTGCAATACAGAATTCTGGAAAGTTTTTTGAAAATGAAAATGATATTATTTCTAAAAGGAAAAAGGAAATACATGAGACAATAGACCCTAAGTGTCTAAGTGTCAGGGCATGTGCCTAGTGTTTGCTTTGTCGCCTTCAGTATGGCTATCCTATGCGAAGTTGGGCCATACTTTGTGTTTGGTAGTGACATCTTTCTACGCCTGATGTAGGTTAGCCTTCATAGGTTGGGCTTCCTCTTATTTTCCCTAGCGGGGCCTGGTGTGGGGGAGTTATGTTTCGTTTCTCGTTCCTTGGGGATGTTCTCATCTGTCTTTCTTTACGACCAAATGTGTGTTGCAACCATGGGATGCGCCTCCCCTTGGACGGGTTAGAGTGCCTCCTATGTGTTTCTGCGCACCCATCTTCCATGCATGTCCCGCTATCACTACAGATGCTGCTTCGCTTAACGAGGGCTCTTACTGGTGCTCTCCTACATGAAAACCTGCTCGTTAAAAAGAACGGCAGTCTACCTCCGTTGTTGTTGTTTCGTGCACTTGCACCCTCTGTTTTTAGGGGCTTTGGTTTATCAAATAAGATTTGCTTTGGAGCCCGAATTGTTCTTTTGATGGGCCTTGCCTGTTTTTCAATTATGGGCCAGACAGGCACCTTTTCCTGTGGGCCAGCATTTTCTCGTTGTGCGCTTGTCAGTCTGTATTCTTGTTTTGCGTTCATTGGATTGGCGTGAGCTCCCTTCTGTGGGAGAGATGTTGGGAGTCGATTGAACACATCTCACCGTCGTTTCCTGGTCTTATGGGCTGGCACTTGTGCCACCGTAGATTTCCTTTGTGGGTCTTCTCTTTTTTGGTGACCTTCGTTTTGACATGATTGGGTTTCTTTCCTTGCTCCTCATTGGGCATCGTGCCTAATTGCCAGCTTGGTCGTTACTACCATTGCTGACCTATCACTTGTGCTGAATTTGAGAACACCATGGAGGGTAGATGGGATTGCTTGCAGCTCGAAAAGTGTAAGCTGGCTTAAGAGAATTTTGTGCTCTGTCGGGCGATCGAAAACCGAGAATCCGAGCACCCTTGTTATCTCATTTGCTCCGTAATAACTAGTCAATGTGATCGGGAGTCCGACTGTTCCCGTTGGCCAAATGAAATGACCAATGAAGCCAACTACTAGACCCTGGCGCGTGACTAGAGGAAATCTTTCCATTTGATTGGCAGTTGACAAAGGCAGTGCTCGTAGATCACATTAACTCTGGTTCCATTATCGATGTAAACTTGTTCTACTCGTTGTTGACTAACAAAGATGAGAAATGGATCCTTGGGGTCCCAATGTTCTAGCCTGGGGTTATTTATTGAGAATGTTATATTGAGCATGTTTTGGCGGTATGGCCCTGCATCGAGATATCAGCTTTGGCGGTTGGTGCATGGGCGGGGCCCTGTGATGGTGCGTATCTCCACCTTTTTTCGCAGTCTTTTCCTCCATCCTTTTGATTTTTGGGCTGGTGTTTATCATCGGTGAATTTTTCCCTGAGGTCTTTTGTTATATCAACAATGTTCCCCACTAGTTGTATTTCATCAATCTCCCTCTTTAGCACTGTACACTCGTTTGTATCTTGAGTTTTGCTTTTATGATACTCACAGAACTTGGGCTTGTCTTTTTTTTCCTTGGCTAGGGCCTTGTTGATTGCATGAACATTGGTATGGCTGCTTTTGCTATCATCACTGTAGAACGGTCTGTACCTTCTGTACATATGCCAGGGGTGATGACTGTGTCGTTGCTGTTCGCCATCTTGCCTTCTCTGTTGGGTCGAGATTGGCCGCGACACCGCCTCCTCCTAATTTGCATATGCATTGGCTATAGCTTTGATATTGGACTCCTTTCTCTCTCCCCCTTTGATTTACCTTAGGTTTTTTTTCAACACGGACTTTGAGTTCATCCAGGGATCTAGGGACAGATCCCTGCATCTTCTTCGATAGGGGCCCCGTTAGTAAACTTGGGCGAAAGCGCCTGTTACCAGGAACTCTTCATGTCCTGGAACAATCAAGGTCTCCAGCATGAACCGGTCATAATATTCACGTATTGATTCCCCCTCTTTCCGCTTGCATGCCACTACAGAATTAATGTCCCCCTTTCCTTTCCTCAACTTCATGAAAATGTTGAGGAAACGGTATTTTAATTGCTCAAAACTGGAGATGTTACCCAGCCTCAGAGATTTGAACCACTTGCCAACATTGTCGGTTAGGGTGCAAGGAAAATAAGTGCAGGTGAAGCGACGATCCATTTTGAGGGAAGTCATCGTCCATTCATAATTGTCAATGTGGTCATTTGGGTCTATAGTACCGTTATATTTGGGCATGTGTGGGATCATTGTCGTGTGCGGAATCTCGTACTGTAGTAGCTCGTCGCTGAAATTAGAGTTGGTGCTTCATATGGTATTATCCAAGTATGAGTATAACATCCCGTCATATGCCATGTGTTGTTGTATTTTGTATGGGCTTGCATACATATGGTTATGCATGGTCGCTGGCGAGATGTACCACTGATACTATGGTAGATTTGGCGTCGACCCAAATTATTGGATTCCGTACTGCCCTGCCAGCAGAGCCATATGCAGGCTAGCTCTTGTATACTGCTGAGTGTATGGGTTAAACGGTTGAGTCATTTACATGAAGGATTAAACTCAGATTATACTGGGAACTGGGTGCTAGGTCCATAATAGTCGGGTCACTAGATTGTTGAGATCTAGCCACCTGTGGTTTTCGGTTGGGATAGTGCAGGGGTTGGATCTAGTGTGTGTTGCACCAACGCGTTGAGGATCGGTGGTTGTTGTATACATATCGGCATGTGGGGAAATTTTTTCCTGGTGGCTTGCAAGTATACCATTGGGGAATATTGTTGCTGTGATTGAATGTCGTGTGGGATCCACGTCCCGCTACCGGAGGTAAGTGGGAGAAACCGTTGTTGTGAAACAGGAATATTTGTTTGATGCGTTGTGATGATTTGTGGAGTTGTGGTTATGATTGCCACTTGTGGAATTGTGTTGGCTGCTAGGTGCTAGAGGTTGGCCGTGAGAATTGCCGCTTTCTGTACTACAGAACTAGACATCGTTTGTGAAACCAGAGTGTGATTTGATGTGTGCCCTTCCTAAACGGAAGTTTGCCCTCCTTCCAGTGACTGCATCGAATGCAGCGGGATTTTTTCGAGTGCTCCAAACACTATTGGGATCTCACCTTCCATTGCTTCTTGTTGGATTTGTTGCGTAGATATATCGTTCTAGAGATACGCCCGAATGGTGCCAAATGTTGTGATATGTTGGAGAATGGATGGGTTGAGATTGCTAGTGAATCTTTCAGAAACGACTTCCCATGATATCACAATACAAAATAGGATAGAAATCATTAGCTGACATCTGGGAGGGGATCCCAAGACGAAGCCCCGACGATCTAGTTAGTATGATATCTGAGAGAGATGGTAAGTGATTACAAAAAAGAGAGATTATGTCCCCTTCTTCGTGAGGAAGAAAGATCCTTTTATACCTGTCTCAAAGGCGTGTCTCTCAGCAGATTCTGTTGAGGATTCTCTCGTGAGGTGCAACGTGGCGGACCCATATTGGAGGGTCCCCTGTCACGTCGTTTTACTCCTTCTCCCATTGGCTGAAAGGAGATCTTTCAAATGTTCACGAAGATCGTGGCTATCGTCTAATGAGTGAGTGAGACTCTCTTATTGGTACCACGTTGGCTAGGATATGATTTCCCGTAGAAGGAGTTAAGGCACGATTCTACACCTTAACCGCCTTATCAGTCCCCCTTGTGTTGGTGAAAGCCTAAACTTGGATTTAGACTGGGTTTCGGCCAGGCTAAGCCCGGTGTCACTTTGACTTCTCTTTTGATGTTTCCTAGAAGGATACATTAACACCTATGTCGTGGGGGAGTTTTTCATTGCAAGAAGGAAGTTTCCATTCTAGCAATCACGACGTGGTCAACACTTACCACGTAGTGGCCACACTGTTATTTACGATACAATTTTTTTCTCATTCGACAACACACTATGGTCGACACTTCCCATGTCGTGGTCACTGCACATTGCATTAATTTGCAATCCTTTGCACAACATTTCATAAGTGAGTGTTTTTGTTCCTATTTTCCGGCACATTTAGAAGCAACAATCCAGTTTCCAATCTTCTAGCAATTTTCGGAGCAACTTTTAGCATCCCCATTCAATCTCGCCACTACTACCCCAGGGGGGGCCTGTTCCAATTCTCTCTATTTAATTTTATATTCTTTAATTTTTTTAGCAGGCAATGGGGACATTGCATCAAATAAGTGTGGGGTATGGGGTTGAATATAGGAAGATAAGCTTACTGATAAATTAAATTTGAAAAATGACTAGGATTTAAAAATCATTAGAAATATTTGAAACAATAATCTAAAATTGAATCTAGTGAAAAAATTGTTGTGTTGAAATCTAGGTTGCTAGTGTTGTGTGGGACGATCCGATGCGAGTTTTAATGTTTATTTGATCCAATATATGTTATAGTGTATTTGTGGCTTCCCTATCCTAGTGAAATCATGGAAGAAAAACACAACCCTGCTTAGTTTGAGTGATGCGATATGTTTAGCATCGTGTACTTGAAATGCATCTTGCAGAGTTTATGTAATCATTGCACATTAGACTAATACCTCTAACCAATAAAGATTGAAGATTAAGTTCCCTTGCTTAAGCATATATTTTTCTTAAGTTTTTAGTTTTGAGTGAAAAAACTGAGTTATGAAAAAAAAAAGAGAAAAAAGTAAAAAAAAAAAATGAAAAAAAAAAGTTGTTGAGTGAATAAGAGCTATCAAAGGATGAAGATCTTGAAGAAAGTGTAGAAATAAGGCAATTTTCCAAGTAATTATTTATTATACGTTTTTTGAAGGTTATTTTCTATATGTATGCTTGGAAGCTTAATTAAAAATTAACTTGAGGTTAAGAAAGATTTTTGGGGATGGATTCGGAGGGTTGCATAAAATGAGCATTGTTCAAAAGAAATTGGCAAGTGTTTATGAAGATTGTGAGTATTTAGGATTGGGGAGGTTTTTAAGAAAATTTAGATACAAATTCATGCATTGCGGTCTTGAAGTTATGGAGAGGCTCAAAATGGATTGCCTTATGGGATGTTCATAGCTAAAGTCTTGATATGATAATAATAAAATAAGTTTTCTTCGGGGCAAGCAAAAGGTTAGTGTTGGGTTGTTTGATAACGTCTATTTTATGAATATATTTATGATGTTTTCTTAATATGCTTTGAATGTTAAATTATTGTTAAAATGGGAGCTAAAATGCAAAAGGAGAAGAAAGGAGCTCAAAAGACGCAAAAAGGGTGTTGCTGGACAGCTTGACCCCTCATTAGTGTTTTGGTCATATCTCATGACTCGTAACTCCGATTGATGAGATTCAAAATGTTCTGAGAACTAGACACACTTTCAGATGACTTTTTTGTTTTGAGAAAATGGTGATTCCCAACGAACTCATCGAGTTCAACATGAACTCACCATGTTGAGTAAAAGCTTCACGATTCTTGACGCTGACTTGGGGAGTACGGGATTTTAATGAAGAACTCATCGAGTTGGTGTCCAAACTCATCGAGTTGACGTTGAAAACTATAAATAGAGCCAAAAATTAGCCCTAAAGAGGGATCTTACACCCTATATTGATTCCTGCGATTATAAACCCCCAAGAAG